GTCCCTATGTTGCTGGTTCTGATTTCAGTCGTTCCCGCCTATGTTCCTGGTCCTTCGTATGTTCCTCCCATGGTATGAAGATCCCCACCAGAATGACAAACCGCACCAAGGTCCCAACGGTTCCCAGGTTCCAAGGTTCCCCGAGTAGTTTCATCATCATCATCATCCTAGTAGTAGTCACCATCTTCATGCGTATCCTAGTGGTAATCGTGTCATCTTTCTCACCCGCAGGCTGGTAATAGTGACCCGAGTAATTTCCCTGACTTTCATGCGTGTGGTAGTGGTTTCTTGTGTGTTCATTCTAGTGGTGTAAATGTTTGGTCGGTATTCAGTCGGTGGACATTGCTAACAAATTCCAAGACAGAATGGGGCCGATTCTATGTCTAAGCGAACAAAGCCCGCTCACTGTACGATAGCGACAGATAAGAACCACAGTTGATCGCATTCATAAACTTACAACTCGATTATTAGTTCCAACAAGAAGAAGTAGAAGATTTTCTGTATTACAACTGTGTTTCTGTTTTTTGATCGATATTTATATTGTACCAATGTTAAAGTTATTAATGAAGTACTAGAAAGAAGCGCAATTTTTGTAGGTAGCCGCGTCAAGAATAAGAGTAAGAACGTGAAGAACATTCAAGAAGAACTCGATTCCAAAATAGTTCCAAGTCCAACAAGAAGAACAAGAATTACAACTATGTGTTTTGATCGATAGTGTACAAAAACTGCCGTTAAGGTTCATCAGATATGTCCTCCCAACCACGAGGACAGGGACTATTGACGCCTCTGGGACTCGGTCATCCTCTTCCTCGTTAACGTTATTTATTAATTTCAATATCATGCTGATGCTCATGACCTTCGGATCGACCAATATGATGTATTTCAACAGAAGTCATGCAAGGTTTTATGATGAGAAAATAATCAAAGAAGTTACTCAGTAAGTTTTCATTGTTAAAGTGGTTGTAGTTCTTGTGCTGTCAGCGAGTAGTTACTAAGAGAAAAAGGATTCGCGAAAATGTTGATCGGAGCTCGTCGTGTCTTTGACTTTGTGCCATACCATCAAATTTATGATAGTCTGCTAGTTTTTCTAGTGGGCCTACACCTAGCCTAGTCTTAGTATTGAATGGTCACAGTGTAGCCCTTCCTTCCTCACTTCAACTCCATGGTCCTCCCCGTGTCTTCATTGTATTGTATTGCTCTGAAGTTCGAGATTGTATTGTATTGCATTGCTTCTGAGACAACGTGGCGAATTTTTTTAGAAACAAACCACCGAGGCCCAGTTCGGTCATCAAGATCAAGCTGTTGCGTTTCGCCTTGACGAATTTTTTTGGAAACACCACCGCGACCCAGTTGGATCATCAAGATCAAGCTGTTGCGTTTCGCCTTGAATTTTTTTAGAAACACCACCGAGACCCAGTTGGATCATCAAGATCAAGCTGTTGCGTTTCGCCTTGCCGAATTTTTTTACTAACACCACCGAGACCCAGTTGGATCATCAAGATCAAGCTGTTGCGTTTCGGCTTGCCGCATTTTTTTACTAACACCACCGAGACCCAGTTGGATCACCAAGATCAAGCTGTTGCGTTTCGCCTAGATTTTTTAACTTAGCTCAATTATGATGGTCGAAGAAACACCGGGATGGATTTTTTTAGAAGCAAACCACCGAGACCCAGTTCGGTCATCAAGATCAAGCTGTTGCGTTTCGCCTGGATTTTTTAACTTAACTCAATCCTGATGGTCGATCGACTTCCTTAAGTTGTAGCGTAATCGCGAAAGTGTAGCCCCCTCATCATAATTTTAGACATATGAGCCAGACCGCGAAGTATACCATTATTGAGGAAGCTTTTTTCTGAGCGTAGCACCTAAAACGCCCGCTGTCGCGCGCTTCGTCACCGCCGTGACACAACGGTGAACCGAGCAGGGAGCGCCGCTTGGGACTTTTGGGGGACTGCAAAGGTTTTGAGGGGACAGGGCGGCTGTAATAGTTAGGCAGAGCAGAAGCAACGTAGATAAAAAGGAAGAGGTCCTCGCTTATGCTATCTGCGCTTTCGGTAGCTTGCGCCCGCGGCCGCAGCGTGATATCGCTTGCGCATCTCTAGCTGGGCCGACGGGAACATCGGGAGGCTGGCGGGGTGCGAGGGTCGGCGGACCCGCGGGGGCTCGAGAGTTGTCGGGCGGTCTAATGCTGCCTGTCCTCTCGCCTTTTCGTGAGCAGGTAAGTCTGCATTGGAACCAGCGGCGCGTAATATGCGTTCGTGGAGAGCAGCGGGAAGGGGGGCGTTCTGCGACGGAAGCGATAGGGATAGAGTAGATATTATAAAGTAGCGCGCTCCCATTAAACCCACTACAACCACCGGATCTTCAGGAGGATCCCTTGAGCCCTTACATCAACGTCCTTAGCGAACGATGGCAAGGGCGCTCGCGGGGCGCTCGCGAGCGCGTCATGCGTGAGGCGGTAGGGTCGCGCGCGAACATATCGCCTTGTCGTGAGCAGGTAAGTCGCTCCTGGTCATTGTTGTTGCTGTTGCTCTGAAGTTCATAACCGAGCAGTATCAGATGACAGCTCGGGCAACAAGCTCAAAATTACTCGTGCACATGATCAACAAGCTCAAAGTCCTCAGCTTCATCAGCCTCCGATAAATCTTCTCCAACTCCAAAAAAAAAAGACTCTCAATATCTTGTAACAAACAGTTTCACTTTCACACTACGACTATGAATATCCAATAAACAGTTTCACGACCAGAATTGCTACGATTAATATTTATCAGCAGGAGGAGCTCCCTCCTCCTCACCTCCATACTTTCCCGTGCTTTCTTCACTTGAAAACTAAAAAGCCGACCTCTATTTTCCACTGATTATCAGCAGAAGACTCAGATTGATTTATTGAAAGTACTTAGAACAACAGTGTCACCAGGAGATAATTGAACCATTAGCGTCGAAGGCCAGGCTCAGCTGAGTGAGATCAAGTCACGAATCGTTTTCTACACGACAGCTGATGTGCTGGATGGACTGTGAACCCAAAAGAAAGAAGATTTAACAAAGGTAGCTGAAGAGTGCTAGAGGGAAACCCTCCTGGAGGGAAAGCAACTGCATCCACCTAGGAGAGAAAATTGAAAATCCAAAGACGACGACGCGAACTCGTCCGAGCGTCTGAACTACAAAAAAAGGAAAAGCCGCGCCTTGTGTAAAGTCAGCGTCGACATCACTAGAAATCAGTGATTCAAGAAAGTATCAGGACTGCGAAACAATTGAGAAATATGACTTCTCACACCTTGTTCCCCACTCAAACGCAATCAGACCTTGTTAGTACCCCACAAATGGGCTAGCGAGTACTTCTACTACTACTAGTAATACTCCTACCTCCACTGCTACCCATGGCGTTCCAGTCTCTTGCGTCTCTTGGACTTGGTGTCGGTCGTGGAGGAGTCACCACATTGGTCGTGGCATGGTACTAGAGCAGGAACTACGACTAGCAGGTGGGACGGATACCCGGTTTAGGGTCGGGTTGGGACGATAACCCTAAAAATTACTCAGAGGTCACTGCACGAGTCGCAGACTGCGGCTCTTTTGTGTCGATTTTCCTCCTCCGATGTCTCTGCGTACGAAACGCCTATTTGGTGTGAGGCACAACTTGGTAGACGGACACTTTGCTGAGATTGCCCAAACTAGTGCGGGTAGAGCGTCGAGAGGAGGACAAATTTAATAGAACTACAGGATCATGATCAAGGCCAAGGACTACGAAGGGCTCCTTCTCCTTCAACAGCATAGGTAGAACAACGCCGACGCCTTCATCCACGCATCTCGGCATTCCATGCCAGACGAACAAGAGCTGCTGGCAGCTCTGTCGATTTTCATAGTAGGGAAGACGAAGAGCTACTGCAAGAACGAACTAGGGAAGTACTACTCCAGCATCGAACTAGGATTATATCGATAAGACATAATCGACATAAGTAGTTCTATCCTACTACTCCTGCATCGATAATCGACAGAGCTACTGCAGCGAACTAGGGTCGAATCGAAAGAGCTCTGTCGATCCGACCACAGGGGAAGAGCTCCTGCAACGAGCTACTACCTTGTATGCTACCGCTATTTGGTAACCTGAATTTGATCATAAGCGCAAACAAGAAGAGAACGACCCTTGTGATCAAATTCAGGCTACCAAATACCGGAACCATTCACCCCTCTACTACCTCCGACGCAACAACCCGGGATCGAGAGCGAAGGTCCTCTCTTCCGTACTAATACGACAGGAGACGAACAGCTACTGAAAGGTGGACGAGAGGGTGTAGGTCCCGCGACGCTCAAAGCACACAAAGTTGGAAATTAGCCGGCTAAAAATTTCCCTCGATAGTTCGGAGGTCGCTCGACGTAACCCTATTCGCAGTATAATAAGCAAAACTCGCTGAGCAAAAATGTCTGACGAAGCACCTGCGGAAGGAGTTCCTCCAGAGGATTACGGCATGACTGTAGAAATTGAGACAACAACAACATACGTCCGAGCAAATATTTATAACTATTCATCTTCAATGCCAATGGCCGCGGCAGGCTTAAGGTGTTCCTTCTAACGGTATTAATACCGTTACGAGTTTTTAACCCCAAAAGCCTTTTGCTAGTACAACTACCTGTTGTAAAAAATTTACATTTACTACGAGGACGGTGAATAATTTACATTTACTAAGTCGTACAACCTATGTGGTAGTGGTACGTGCTAACACCACGTAGTACCTTGATGTTGATCTTGTTGCATGATCCAAGATTCAGAGAAGCTTTAGATTCTTTGATAGAAGTTGGCTTTAGACATCTCATCTTTGGTACAAAGACTCCTATAATGCAATTAGTTGTAACTAGTGCTTTGTAGTAGTGGTCCTCTAATAAATACAAAGTTACTAGTAATCTAATACAAAACTATTACTACTAATCTAAGTAATCTAATAAATATAAAGTTACTACTAATCTAATACAAAACTATTACTACTAATCTTCTAAGACTAAATACGAAGTCACTAGTAATCTAATACAAAACTATAACTACTAATCTAAGTCTAGTAATCTAATTGTTGGACCACAAGAACACAGGCCTCCGCGCCTTGGTTCGTTTCTCAGTGGAAACACAAAGCCAGAATCTTGAATGCAAGCAAATCTTGACACTCCTGCCTGAGAGTTGCGATCTCTGGCTGGTGTAGTCCCTGTTTGGTTCATTGGGTAACGTGAATCATACACCATCAACATAAGCATGTCAGAAGGGATCGGGCTGGATATGCATCATACGACTAGGATCAGCACAACCGTGCCTAGTCTACGCATTGATCATTATGGTTATGCGTTGACTGTGCTTGAATGTGCATTGGAAGTAGCATTCGTGACCATTGACACTCATGTCTTGTGAGATCATCCCGATGACAGTCGAGCGCGAGGCTTTGCGTGAGCCACTGAGAACAGAACAACACGACATCCGAGAGGCTTGAGCCATACACGACCAACACTAATACAAAACTACTACTACGAATCTAAGTCTAGTAATCTAATAGATACAAAACTATTTCTACTAATCTAAGTAATACCCAAACTACTACTTTGTTCCCCCCCTCTCTCAATCTTTGGATGTACCCCTGGATTGGGTTTCCGATCTTCTGTCTAATTCTTGGGAGAAAATGGAGAATTCGAGGACGATGCTGCGGAGTACGAGAGGGATCCTCTTGAGCAAGTCTGGGTTTTTGGCTGCAACGACCATTTGAAAATAGACGAAGAAATAATAGCAGCAAAAATTAAGGCTTGTTCACGGGCTGCACTTTTTTTGACTTGAGGACTATAAATTACCCTTTTGTTCTCTTTTCTATCTTCCCCTGGTCTTTCTTTTTTCTAGTTAGGTCCGTCGTCTGCTCCGCCACAAATATCACAGAGCAACAAGTCAGTATGTAGAGCCAATCTGTCTTCTTTTGATTTTTATAATCGTCCTCGCATTTAATACTTCTTCTCGTCCACTACCACGAGGATCATTCATTCTTTCCTCTACTTTTGGTATAGTTCTTGTCGTCTCTACTTTCTTTTCACGCGTACTCACTCTACTTTCATCGAGTTCTACTGTTGTATCATGATTCAAGTTTTGTGTTCTTTTGTGTTTGCACTTAGGAAGGCTACTTGAGAAGCCATGTTGATGATGATACTATCGTCGAAGGCCGCGATAATATCGTCTTTTTTCATGAAAATATGATGAGTACTACTAGATGAGGTTTTTTTTCGAGCCACGAGTTGTACGCACAACTCACTGAGAAAATATATATGATGTAGCGAGGGCCCTCCTCTCTGGTTGTGGGTTTATTTGGTGAACCGGTACCCCATAGCGAATAAACCTGTGCACACAACCAGAGAGCTGAGCACTCACCGGAGGCGTTGCACAGGGCTCCGGCCTGCCTTTGAAGGTGAGACCTATGGGGCTGACAGGACGGCGATAGCGCCGGCGCTTAGTTAGTTTTAGCAGTTAGCGGGATACTTCAGAATACTTGTTGATAGTTACCTTTTTCTCTTTTATATCTTCCTCTGGTCTGTCTTTTTTCTAGTTAGGTCGGCTCCACCACATATATGATGAACAGTACTATGGGTCGTTTTTACTCATCATGCTGATGAGTATCACTAGTACTAGAGTAATATCCACCCTACGACAAACCACCGCGTGCTGCAGGTAACTCTGAAGCCAACTACTTCTAAAATGAGTGGGAATTTTTTCGAGGACTTCCTTGCAAATTGTGAGGAATTTCGCATGGTTCCGCATCCTAGCATGACGAAGGAGACGTTGCTTAAGGCCGCTATGTGATGTCCTCAGATACTGCTATATAAGCATGACGAAAGAGTGACGCTGCTTAATAAGGCTCCTATATGTCCTTACTTACAATTATCTGGGTCATGTGCTTCTAGGCACTTCTTCCAGATGATATCCGGTGTGCTAAAAAGTAGCACTAAAACTATTGCTTCTTACTTTCCAAGGGTGCGGCCAACGCTCAAGATATGTCTAGGATTATATTGAATACTCAGTCATCAAGATATGAGTATCGCGACTATATACCTACTCTTTTATTGGAATATTCTCTTTTATTAGATAGGAGGGATATAATATGTATATGTGAGGACTATTTATTTTTCACTACTGACAGGGCTAATATTGCTACACTACTTCAAATCATCTTTTTACTACTCACTGACCCTAGCCAGGCAATGGCGCACGTGTTGAAAGTGAAGATTTTTGGCTGGTCATCTTGTTAAACCACACCGTCTAGTCCATTCATCATTACTTTTCACTACTCGCTCAGCAACAAGATAGTGACTCATTCAGCATATCTCTAAATCGGCTGGTGCCATCATCTGCAAAGGATTGCTTGTCGATCTTTGCTCTCTAAAAATTATGAGGTACTTGAACTCGATTAAACAAGGTTTAGACCTACCGTTTTTACTCTGCTTGTTGCGATGTTTCTTCTTGGAAAAGAGTGTCCGTAAACGCAGAAGGGGCTCGCCTTCAAGCACAACCTAGCACACTGACAACTTGTTGCACGGGTAGTACTTCCTTTCTTTCCTCTTCTATCTAGATTATAAGTGCCCTCGCCGACGCCAGCACTGACACCCACCAGACACAACTCACAAACCGGGCACAGCATGTTCTTGCTCTTGGTGTGGCATCAAAAATTCTCTGAGCACAACTTCTCTCTCCAGGCACATCTTGCCAACGAGTCAATTAAGGCACACTGGGTAAAGATGAAGATGAAGTATATTGTTTCTCATGCGATGTTCTTACTTCACTGCAATTACAAAATACTAATGGTTGTTCCATATTTTCAAGGTCGTCAGTCTGCTAAGTCCTCCACCACGGCTATCAGGAAATATGATAGCAATACTAGAAGATACGAAACAATTTACTAGGGACGCATCATGCATGCAGGTCCTGCTCTTCTAAGTCATTCGATAGAACATCTTAAGTTCTCGGATGCGCTGCTAGATGCGCAGATGGTTTCCCTGTTGACAGACGCACTAGCCGAGGAACGGACGACGGTGAAGAGTTTGACGCTTGACTGGAATAAGATCGATGTACTCTTGTTCTTCAGTCTTCACCTACCTTAATTATAACCTGATGAGACTGATACCCTATGGATGCGCCCTTAACCTAGTAACTGAATGACCTGAAGATGAGATTAATACCTAGTACTAGGTAGAGAAAGAGACCACCACGTAGATTGTAGTGTGTTACAATGAAAACAAGAACTTATGGAAAAATTCTCACAACAAACGCAAACTTGTCTATCAGTTGCCGTTGGTGATACCGGAGGAAGTTAAGGAATTTGGCGAGATGGAGGCTTTGGAACGAGCAAGAATGAGCAAGCAGTCCTTAAGGGACGTCCAAGTCTGGACTGAGCTGGTACTGGAGTCCACGAAAAAGACCAAATTTAGCGAAGTTTTGGAATTATGAGCATGTTCTTCTAGAGCCCCATTCTAAAATTTGGTGTTATGATAGAAGTTGTCTTCTATATGCATATCTAAGTCAGAGTAGTTAGAAGAACAAGGATCATGAAGACATTCTCTAATACCTCTGAATCCAATGAAAAAATCGCATACAACCTCTGAATCTAGTACCTCTGAATCCAATGAAAAAATCGCATACAACCTCTGAATCTACTACAATAAATACATCGCGCACCTCTGAACCTGAAGAATGGGTCATCTGACCCTCATACCTCTGAATCTCAACAAAATAACTTCTAATTCTTATCAATCTCAATCTTCAATCCTCTAATTCCTATGCTCAACGAAGCCTGGGCACCGAGTGCGAGTCGGCAGGATCTTAGGATGATAAGCTTGGAGACTGATAAACTCGATTACGCGCAATTCACCTACCACTTCGGAGCAAGACTTGGAGTATTCCCATTTCGTATTGGGAGTTGTAATTTTTTTATTTGATAATTGAAGAACAATGAGATGGACTTTGGTCATCTACTTGCACCAGTATTATTGAAGATGTTGGTATTGCTATAGTTGGTATGTATTCATCCGGTCCCCTCGTCTCTCTTTTAGACCCAAGCCAACCAAGCGTTTCCTCTCTTCTCTCTTTTTTAAGCCCTATTGCTCTCTGTGTCTGCGCTTCCCCGTCAAGTAGGAAAATTATGCTGACTTCTAGGAGTAGTACTAGTAGGGACTAGTAAAAAAACTGAGGTGCTTTCCAAACCCTTTCCTTAGGTCCCACTCCGAGACGAGGTGTTTCAGAAAGCGTTCGCCCACTTCGATGGTCCAGAATTTAGCGGTGGCGAGAGTAAGACTTCCCTTGCGGTGATACAAAAAGTTTGCTCAAATTAAGGCTTGTTCAACATTTTCATAAATAGTACTTCCTTGTTAGTTTGTATCTGTCCCTATTAGAAGTTTTTATTTCGTGGCAATTAAGTTCAACTTAGTTGATCAAATCATTGAAACAAGAATATTTAAGGCTATTTCATCTCTCTTGTTCTCCCTTCATTGTTCTAATCCATCCTCCCACGTGTGCAAGCAGTCCCACCAGCAGTGGAAGGGGAGGATCCTCCTGCTGAGCCTTCAGATTAAGCCTTCAGATTATGCTGTCACTATCCCACGTGGAGTATGCTGAGTGGAGTCCCCCTTGATTTACAGGGGAAAGAATATATTTTTTTGCCTATCTGACTAAGGTTCACATGCTTATAAAATATATAGGGAAAAGAACTAAGGGGCGGATTGCATTTGCATATTGCCCCAAGCAGGGCGAAACCCCGAAAACGCCTCCCCATCACCAGGAACTCCTCTCGTCACTTGAGTTTTAGAGTTTTAACGTTTCGCAAGCCTCTATTCTTCACTGATTGAATGGTTCCGGTAATTGGTATAGCCTGAATTTGATCATAAGGGAAAACAAGAAGAGAACCCTTATCATCAAACTCAGGTTACCAAATACCAGAACCATACACTGATTAAAGAGGAAACTAAGGGCAGCAGGGGCACACAGCAGGGCACCTCACTGAACCTGGGATAGTGAAAAACTGGCGCTAATCAAAGGACGCTCCAGTTCCGCCTGACCCCATAGGCGATGTTTGGCGGAGACTGATAGAAACCTCCTTCATCGAAAATCTCTCTATGAGATGTTGCTCACTTTCGAGGTATTAAATAGTTGTAAGCTGTAGTCGTCATCATCACTCATCATCATCATCACTCGTATTAAATACTCACTCACAGTAGTAGTCATCATAGTATCTTATAGAAGTAGGCTGTCATCATCATAACTCATGTTTCTCTAGTACTTGTTTGTGGTGTCGTTGTAACAGGTACTCGTGACCACGATAAGTATCGTGACTTAAGAGAAGATGATGATACTTTGTACTATGGCCTTCAACCAAAGCCCTTCTACCCACTACCGAAGCTAGCTCGTGGGCTAGACCCCCGATTATAAGCCCAATAACCCTTCAGGTTGTTCTTTCACGCGTTAGCTTCTTTGTTAGTTTCTTTCACGTTGAAGTTTCTAGTCATCTTCTCTTCTGCGGGTGCATCGCATAGTCTAGGGGCTGGTATGCTAGCCAGTGATAGACTCCATAATGATGATGGCCATCGAGGAAACCTCTTCTACCCACTACAGGCTAGAAGCTCCTGGTGTAGCCACTGGCATTCGCGCGCAAGTCTATCTCCGACAATTGAATCTCTATGGGAATAACTTGTCGGACGATAGCGTTGCACTCATAGCAGACGCATTAGCGGACAACAGTTCCTTGGAATATGTTAAGGCTACCTCATCTACCACTCCATCGATCTCTATGCAAAATCATAGTGAAGTTCATGCAAATCTAAGCATGTTGGTCTCGGGAACAACCTCATAGGGAATCGAGGATTTGCAGCGTTGTGTGACACCTTAGGCGCGAAGGTAATAGAAGACAGAGCAGAGGCAGACGCCAGAATAGCTGCACAGTCTGCGAAATCAATGCCGGCGCCAAGTACTTTTTACATTTCAGTTTCATTCAACTAGACATTCTTCTATACCCCAAGATTGGGTACACTACTACTACTACTACTACTACTCATTCAACGCAAGTGCCTCTAGTACTATCAACAATGCGGCCTCATCCTGAAGTAGATTTAAACAACTTCAAGATAGAAAATAATTGCGTGACTCCTGATTCGTTAAATATAAATTGATAGGAATGTTGACTTCTTCCTATCCTATCCTAAGGTAAAGACGGTGCAGGAACAGAACGGCCACAGCGAGAGTCAGTCTGGGTCGATGAAGTGGTAGAAATTCCTGCACCCGCAGTCGAAGAAGGCGAATCACCGCCACCACCAAAATATTATTGGTATTAGTAGTTCACCTTGACTGCATCTGGTGCACGTTCATCATCTACTTTATGTTCCATGTAGTTCCGCCTCTTTTTCTTCACCTTGATGTTGTTCAGAAGTTATCATCGTGTTATCACAAGTACTTATTCAGAATTATATAAGTTTTTGTTTGTTTGTTCTTAAAGTACAATACAAGTGTTGTATTGTCCCTGTACAGGTTTAGATGTTGTTAATACCGAAGAAGTAGATAAACAATTGTCGTGAAGATGAAATCAATTTTTTTTTTCCACCAAACAACAAACTCAACCTCTTCAAATACAGAAGAAACACAGGTTTCGCAACAAAACAGTGAAGAAACTGAATCTTAGCTACAACCTGATCTCCGATTGGACTGTGGTGCAGGAATGTCTTGCCCTAGGCAACCCGGAAGCCTGCGTAACCTTGATTATGGTAGCAACATAATACTAGTACAATAGTAGTACGTAAAGAAGATGACTGCAGCTTCTACTAGTCGTAGTACGTATTAATAGTCGTACACTAACGTAGATCGATTTCCTTCTCGCTCGCTAATGGTGTTGGTGTCACCTTTCCTTTGGGTGTAGAGTCCGTGTTGTAAAGTCACTGGCTATATATATCACATATAGGCAGCAAATTGCCGCAGGCGCGACGCCTGAGCGTAGTGCGTGAAGATGACTACTTCTACAACTAGTCGTAGTACGTATTAATATTTAACCTGCAGCCTGAAGATCGTCTCTCTAATTGACTAGTGGTACGGAAACCTGCAAATACAACTTTGAAACAGTAGGGGACGTCTAGGACAGCTCTCCTTCAACCTATAACTACTACCTAAAGCCTGATCTCTCAAATTCAATCGTGCAACACCTCTAGAATAGGCACAATCATCATCATCATCATCATCATCATCATCATAATCATCAGTAGGCTAGTAAGAAGGTTACTAAGCTACTAGTATAATTTTTTTCATATTACCAGTCGTATTAGGGTAGTTGAAAAAACAGCACCTCAAAGGTTCTTAGTATTTGTACTATACGTATACAACTTCTAGTAAAAAATTTCAAGAAAGATGACCGTCTACTTCTTCAAAGGCAACGAATAGTTGACGCATGCATGCACACAGGTAGCGCCTATACCTCACGAATAGGTACTTGAATCAAATCAATCAATCTTCTAAACTGACCGGGAACGCAGTCGCCAGAGATTTAAAGGACGCCCAATGGCCGCAGCCAAAGGAGGACGCTGTTGTCGGCTGGAAAGTGGATTACGGTCAACCAGTCGCACCAGTTGAGCAGTAGATGTCATGTGGTAAGGAAAGTGGATTACGGTCAACCAGTCGCACCAGTTGAGCAGTAGATGTCATGTGGTAAGGAAAGTGGATTGCGGTCAACCAGTCGCACCAGTTTTCGAAAAACCTACTAGACAACTTAATCACTTCAACTTCTTCTTGTTGATACAACTTACAAATCTTATCCTTAGGCTTATCCCTTCAAACAATATATAACTTACAAATCAAAGGCCGCTCCTGACGAGAAGGAATCAAGAACTGCAATGAACATGAAGATTGTCAACATTGTAGCAATTTCATTTCCGTTTGATAGTAGCAAATATAACCTGTGTATTCTCCTGTCATCAAGTCGTCTAATTGATAATGATCATTAGTTGCAATCACAACTTGCGGAAGTGGAAAGTCTTTTTTTATTTGATGTTGAACTTACCACGTTATTTACGTAGATTTAGGATTAGGTAATAGGCAGACTTTAATGAAGATGTCATGTTTATGTCACCTCCGTTGACGACGAATCGCATCGTGTTCTTGTCGTGACTCAGACAGGATTGATTTCGTCCTCAATGAATGCCAGCATTGTTTATTTCGTCCTCATTTTCATGAAGCAAGCAATTCGGTGCCGAAGTCCACTGTTGAGAAGTGCAGCTGGCCTTTAATGGAGATGTCATGTTTATGTCACCTCCGATGGCGCTGGAGTGCAGTGGTGAGAAGATGATTGAGGAAAATGATGCGTTCCAGAGAACCTCAACGGGGAAAATGCGTTCCAGAGATGATTGAGAAAAATGATGCGAACCTCAACGGGACGACCTCCGAAGAGATGTTGTGTTTCCACATAGGATATTGATTGTGCAGATTCTGTCGTGTTCCTCTGCTAGCCGATGATAGAGGACTCAATGGAATGGTTTCCCTCAAGTACGTGAGAAGCACTGCGCAATTCCGTAGACGGAGAGAGTCAGAGTCCAGTCGCACCTTCTTATCAAATGCCGCCAAATGCAACAGCTAAAAGCTCCCCTCGTCCCCTTTCCCACTTTGAACCGTACCACTTTGAACCATGGGTTTACTACTACTCCTACTACTGCTTCATCATGGCCTACCTCCAAGAAGGAGAGGAGATCACTTCCGAGATCATGTTTCAGTCATGAAATACGTAGAAAACTACAAAGACAACACCAACTACGAGCTACTGGTACTTGTGCTTGAAGATTTGCTTGAACCAATCATGTACCACGAGATTTGTTAATAGTCTTCTTATCTACGTATTGTACTTTATCATACGGGTTACGTTTAAGTAATATATATGGCTACTTTCACCGTTTACTTAGGTGAAGGTTTAGGTCCCGCGACGCTCGTCAAAGCACTAAGGAAAACAGCCGGCTCGTTTTCACCTCCACAATCTTAGGCTTATCCCATGCAACAATATATAGAACCTTTTAGTACCAAGAACAGTAGGTAGCTCGGCCGCCACGACAAGTGCGACCGACGTTTGGCAACTTAGTACCAACATCAGCAGCAGGCCTTCTTGTACACTGCAAATTACATTTTTTTGATAACTTCTGTATTTCTCGTCTTGTACACCTTAAGTTTCGTAGCAATGCTCCAAGCGAGGACTATTACAGCACTCAAAGACGGTGTTCCATATTAGAGATAAAGTAGATAAGGCTGCAAAGTTTTCCGTGTCTAGTATTCATTAGCTAATGATGAACACAACTGGGCACACAACTTTCCGCGAGGATTGTTAGATATATTACTACCTCATAGAAATTGATCTAGGGGACAGCACTCCGTCTTCTACTTTCTACTTTCTCTTTACTCATGTGTCATTTTATCTCTACTTCACGACTTTCTACAAACGAAGTTGGCACTTTTGATATTAAGGTTACTAGTGCTGCTGTTCTAGAAGAAAGGGAGGAACAACCACAATAAGAAGTCGAGGAGAGATTTTGTTTCATGATTTTTGATGTAGATCTGCTGTTATTTGTCTTCGTTGTTCACCTGGTGGAGCTGGACCCAGACCACGGGAACCCGTGTCACACCCATAAAAGGTTGTGGCCGTTGAATAGAACTACTAGATCTATTATTTGAATTTGCTTTCTGCTCGTGCTCTCCTGTCATTCCCATTTCCTATCCTATCCTATCCTATCCTATCCAGAATAAACAAGCTAAGCCATGGTCAAGCAAAAGGAAAAGCATGGCATTGAAACTACTCAATCAATGTCAATCTGTGAAGTTGTGTTTGTGGGTAATATATAACTTCGTTCGAAGATGCTTTGTTCTTTAGTAGACCACACAAGATCTTCTCTTCTCCCGTAGCCATTTTGGCTCAAGGGTTCTAGGAGGAGGCCCCTAGCTCACATAAGACCACAAGGGGAATGTGGCAAGAGTATAGGTTGAACCTAGGCGGGATTCTGACTAGTTTTGTAAAAATTAATATGGTGCTAACATTATGGTAGATGTGTAAAGAAGCTCATGGTATGTTTACAACTACTGGCCCTTGAGGCCGCGTAAGGACAGTAGTACGGCGATCCGTTTGTATATCAGCTCTCGCCGCATGATGATCTTATTAATGTAACTTGGTTTTGTAATTGTTGGTCATGTATGGTTCAAGCCTCTCGGATGTCGTGGCGTTCTGTTCTCCGTGGCTCACACAAAGCCTCGTGCTCGACTGTCATCGGGATGATCTCACAAGACATGAATGTCAATGATCATGAATGCTACGTCCAACGCACATTCAATGCATAATCATAATGGTCAAGTGTAGACCAGGCACGTGTGTACTGATCCTAGTCGTATGATGCATGTTCAGTCCGATCCCTTCTGACATGCTTATGTTGATTCATCTTACCCAATGAACCAAACAGGGACTACACCAGCCAGAGATCGCAAGTCTCAGGCAGGATTATCAAGATTTGCTTGCATTCAAGATTCTGACTTTGTGTTTCCACTGAGAAACGAACCAAGGCACGGAGGCCTGTGTTCTTGTGGTCCAGCACTGGTCTAACCCTTGAGCGGCAAAAGTAAATACAATTGGAAGTAGTGTAGTAAAATAAACAAATCCATCAAAATGTCCTGCGAGGCCAAGGAGATCCTCAAGAAGTTGGGACAGAAGTCCGACTGGCGCGAGTGGCAACGAGCTGTACGTCAAGAAGCTAGTCGCCTAGGCTTACTTGAGAACTACACGAATGTAGTCAACGTGCCGGCCGTTCCACATGGTATACCGCAAGGTAATGCCAGTCGTGAAGAAACGACCCGCCAGAAGTGGCGCAACCTGAAAGACGTAATCATACGAAGTCTGAAAGGTGCGGCCAAGTCGTTCGTCGACAATCGGAATAACGATGGCGCGGTGGACGAAATGGATGCTGGTGAAGTTGTTGTTCTACTTCGTGATCAAGGGAACTTCAACGCGAACAATCGCCAGGAGCAGCGCATGAAGGTCAAGCCGTTGTCGGAGGGACTGATGAAGTTCCACAACAGCGACCAGCCTGCAGATGTCAAGGAGTTCCTCTCGAAGATCCGCGACATCATGAACCAATCGCCCACCGTCTTCCCGCCGGATGCAGATCTGCCCGACGCTGACCAACAGAACGGAGCGATCCTGCTGAAGTTGCCCGAGTTGTTCTGCAAGAACTTCAAAGCGACTATCGAGCGGATGCAAGAACAAGATGGCCTGACATTTGACCAAATTGGAGACCGACTTGAGAAACGTCTCACAACGTTGATCGAGGAGGGAACCTACAAAATTGAGAACGACTCCTTCGGGAAAGCGTTTCCGGTCAATGTTCAGGAAACCTCGAACAAGCGTCCTCGTGATGATAAGAATGAGGATGATGACGAGGTAGAGGCCAATAAGGCAGATGGTAAGACCTTCATTTCCGCTAACGCCCTCAAGCGTTTCAAGCAGAAAGAAAAGAAGAAGGCAATCGCCGAGGTCTACAACTCCTACGGGTACCAACCCAAAGGAGGAAAGAACGGCGGACAAAAGCCGAAGAAAGATAAAGGAAAAGGAAATAATAATACCTATCCACCCCGCTGTGCTTGCTGCCGCAAGGTCGGACGCAAGTCCTCCGAGTGCTGGCATAACAAGCAAGCCCTTCAACAGGGACAGGGAAGTTGGACTACCGGAGCCTCATCTAGTAGTTCTAGAGGCAAAGGTGGAAAGGGTAATAGCAGTGGCATGATCCACATGTCGCAGGTTGCGGAGATGCTCAACATCATGAACTCGCACAATCGAAGCTGAGCGACGGAACCGTACGAATTTGGGAAGTGTTCGCTGAATTTCGAAGAAGATGAAATAATGACAAATGTTGTTAATCATGCTGATAGCTACAATAAAGATGGATATAGTTTCACAACCTTGAATACTAGAACGTCAGAAGATGCAGCCCTAGTTGATAGCTGTGCAAACAGATATCTGCCACGACACAGAGATGATTTCGATGAAATTGGTAACAACATTTGTAGAATAACAGGTAGCGCAGGCACTAAAGACGGAAAAGTCGGAAAACTCAAGAACAACGCACTTGGACTAAAGAATGGAGTTTACTATGATTCTCTACCTGGAAACATAGACCGCATATTGCCATGGTTAGGAGACGGAAACTGCTCGCAATTAGGGTGGGAGTTCAACTTCAAAGGCACTGGTGGCTGTATCGTGCACACGGACACCGACCAGATGCTACCCATCAGAGCTCACCCACGCTTGCAGCTACCCGCACTCGCATGTAGTTTCTTTGAAAACAAACACGAAAGTGGTTTCACTTGTACATCAATAGAAGAAGGCGTCTCTAGTTGCTATCTTACGAGATTAGAACTACACAGGAGGCGTGGCCATTTTCACATAGATGGTCTACAAGTTAGTTGCCCAGAATGTGACCTACATAAAGGACAACGAAAATCCCATGCAAACTCTAGAGATGTGACCACCTACACACCCGAACCCCTCAAACTACTTGCAACCAATAGACTTCGCTGTAGGAATAAAACCTGTCTCAGTAAGATCTATGAGATGTGTTCTAGTTGTCATATGTGACGTAATTAAGAAGGTGTTTTGTCGACCGCTGAAGCTTAAAAGTGACTGTGTGGAGGAAATAGAACAAGTCATAAAAGGCATTCGACAGGACTACTCCTTATCGCTAGATGACAAGGTAGTATGGTTCATCCGGAGGGATGGCGAACCAGTCCGCGGTAGTGATGACATGACCAAACTCATGCAATCGCTGCGGGTCTCAGACAATCCGGCTGTTCCTTATAGTCCGGAAATGAGTGGGACTGTTGAACGTTTTATGCGGACCGTGTTTGGCAGCGTGAGAACAATGCTAACGAAGGTTGATCGACGTCTTTGGTGTTACTGTGTTGAATACGCTAGTGACTGCTGGGATCGTCTTCCGCATAATTACGCTAAAATGCCAGAACATGATGGAAAGAGTCCAATAGAGATTCTAGAAGAAAGAACTGGTAGAAATTCTTCCAAAAGCAAAATCGGCATGCTCCGCCGATTTGGTTGTCTTGTTTACTTTCGTGAACAAATCCAAGCCAACACTCCTGAACCCAAGCTCTCGGCCAAATATCGCCGTGGCGTCTTCCTTGGACTCTGTCCGAAGTCGTCTGGTTGGTTGGTTGCTACTTTCGCTCATGACGATCGTTGCAAGCTTGGACATCGATGGGCGGAATACTCTACCCTAGATGTCAAGTTCAGGGAGGATTATCTAATAAAGGACATAGACTGGCTAACGCCAGATAGAAAGGGCTTTTACTATGAGTACGATGAACTGGAAAACTTGCAGTGTGGAGCGTCGTCGCTGGGCTCCCCCTTGATTGGGCAGTCAGTGCAAAGGCTGGATCAGCAATCGGGGTTCTCTGGTACGGAGCGCGCCTCAGGTGGACCGACCGGCATTCCCGAAGAACTATATGTTGAAACCTTAGACAAGAAGGCTGAATCCGACGTGACTGACTCTCCTAAAGGTGTTTCACTTGAGGAGGGGAAAGCTGAAACGAAGGATCGGATCTCTGACTCACCTAGTCCGACTAGATCGAAAGCGCTATCCCCCGCGCGTGTTGTGGCAGGCGAACGCCATACACACGGCAAGAAGCGTGGCCGACCGAAAGGAGCCAAGGACAAGGCTGGAGGAAGGATTCGTAGAACGAAGAAACAGATGGAAGAACTCAGAAAGAGTTTAGCGCTGTTCGCAAGTGCTATTGGTGGCACGTGTGAGATAGACGAAGATGGGGAAATCGTCGAATCACATGTGATACTGTCCGTTGCCAATGCATTAAAGAGTCCTGAAGCTGAAAAGTGGAAGGAAGTCATTGACATTGAGCATGCGAGACTACTAGCCTTTAAAACGTGGGAAGAAGCTACTGACGAGCAGCTAGCAACCGCGTTACGGGCTCTACCAATTGCCATCATACTAACAAGAAAGAGATGTGGAAAATACAAGGCAAGAGCCTGTGTACTCGGTAATTTAGATCGTTCGAGAGAGCTAAACACCTTTGCTCCCGTGGTATCACATGCCGCTAATAGGTTGCTCCTCACTTCTGCTGCGTCAGAAGGGGACTACGTGATCCCGTTCGATTTAGATTCAGCGTTCCTCAATGCCGAACTCGATCGAGATGTCTACTGCCGCCTTCCACCCATCTGGGCGAAGCAGCATGGATACGAGATCGTGAAGCTCAAGAAAGCTCTATACGGCTTGAAGGACGCACCACGAGCATGGTTCAAGAGGTATCGCGAGATTCTAGCCAGTCTTGGTTGGGAGCCGTGTACTTCTGCACCTGGATCGTGGCGCAAACCGAGCAGCAAAGCACCGGGGAAGTTCCTGAAGATGTCTGTCTATGTAGATGACAATCTTGCTACAGGTCCTGACCAAGATGAGCTCAAGACCGAACTAGGCCTCATTTTCACACGTGCTCCAGGCCGTGCGATTGAAGTCGAGTCAATTCTAACCCCCTGGGGTCTCGAATGGCTAAAGTTCGACTTCTTAGGTGCGATCGTGTACTATGGCCGTGAAGCTAAGTCGTTCAGACTGTGCATGGAGCAGTACATCGATAAAATTGCTAAGAAGTATGAAGTTCAACTAGGGAAACCGGTTTACTCGCCCAACTTTGACGAAACAACTTTCCTTGAAGACGGGATCAAGATAGTTGATGGGTATCCCTTTCGTGAGGTAGTTGGTGCCTTACTATGGGTAGCTGTAACCGCGCGCCCGGATATCTCTGATCCGGTAGCAGCGTTGGCTAGACATGTCAGTAAACCCACGTCAACAAGAATGGCCAAAGCAGCCAAGAAAGTCCTAAAATGCTTGGTGTCAACAAAAGACCAAGGAGTAGAATACTCACCAGAAAAGGAAGAAGAACTCAACAAAATATATGAGAAACTTCTACCAGAAGGCAGAGACATGCCAGAAGTAAACATATTCAGTGATGCTGGTTTCGCGAACTGCATCAAAACAATGAGGAGTGCTGGCGGCTCCATAATGTACTACAAAGGTACACCCATAGCATGGAGAAGTAACAGACAAACGGTTAGAGCCTACTCAACGGCTGAAAGTGAGTATATTGCAGCCTCTGACACGATAGTGCTCAGTGAGATGCATGACTTCACAGACTTCTATAGGCCTCTTCCAACTCAGTTGGTACACACACAGAACGGCTTGTCTCCCTCCTTAGACAATGCTGTATTGTGGATAGACAACCAGTCTGCGACCACAACAGCCAAAGCAACAGACGCTCGCCCTAAAAGTAGACGCTATGCTTTACGTTATCTAAGAGTGCGCGACGCTGCTAGTAAGATCGTGCTCTGTCCTACCAACTTGATGAAGGCAGACCCACTTTCGAAACTAACCTGCAGTGCCACTCAGCGTAGACTTATCCTGTCTACGTAGATAACCCAATAACTACAAGTAGAGAAGATGATTGTGATTCCTCTGATGATGAAACGGAAGGGGATGATTTAGCTTACTATAGTGTAATATATTCGGTTTATTTTGGTTTCTAAACCACCGTAGCCAAGTCACATACACTAAACAAGAGACATGATTACCGTGACTCAGCACACAGTGAGGCGGTCACGTGAGACGGACTTCAACCCGCATCGATTGAGGAGGGGTGTTGGTCATGTATGGTTCAAGCCTCTCGGATGTCGTGGCGTTCTGTTCTCCGTGGCTCACACAAAGCCTCGCGTTCGACTGTCATCGGGATGATCTCACAAGACATGAATGTCAATGATCATGAATGCTACGTCCAATGCACACTCAATGCGCATTCAATGCATAATCATAATGATCAAGTGTAGACCAGGCACGTGTGTACTGATCCTAGTCGTATGATGCATGTTCAGTCCGATCCCTTCTGACATGCTTATGTTGATGCTGTATGATTCATCTTACCCAATGAACCAGACAGGGATTACACCAGCCAGAGATCGCAAGTCTCAGGCAGGATTATCAAGATTTGCTTGCATTCAAGATTCTGACTTTGTGTTTCCACTGAGAAACGAACCAAGGCACGGAGGCCTGTGTTCTTGTGGTCCAACAGTAATCGTTATGCTTGTCCTTTGTAATATGTTAATGAGAAGTATTTTCTTAGAAAACTTAGATGTTTTTCTCAACAGCATCAACAACGTGAACGATTATCATCATGATAAGTATCTCACTTCACAAGACTGCTATGCATCGAAAAAACATAAAAAAGCAAAAAGAAAATATAAATGAACATCCCGGTGGTCGCGCTACTGACACTGACTTGTGCAGCGTGATACAAGTACGACACCGACGACACCCGCTTGTTCCCGACGCTGCGACAGGAAGTTTTCCGTCTCTTCTTTCCACGTCGGTCGAAGTCGGTTTTACTTCTTGATGTTAACGCCGCGCGGCAGTCTACACTGAAAACTGTGCGAGATTAATTGTATTGTATTGCATTGCGCCACGTCCAGAGCTGCCAGTATCATTGAAATACTGTCAGACCACGTCTCTACAGTCATCATGAACGATGATAACAGGGACAATTGCACGCACCTCCTCCATCTCCTGCACGAACAAGAAGAAGAAACAGAAGCTTCAACGACGAGAGAAGAAGTATTAGAAGAAAGCGTGATGAAGTAGTTCCAACTGGTAACTAGTACTATCCATTTATTGTTGACTAATTTTAGGAGGAAAGCATGTGGTGCTGCAACTAGTGGTCCTTCCGAGAAAATAGTTGACCTCGTGGTGAGCAGTAGGTACATCAATCAAAATCAATCAGGAGCTTCAATGTATCACATTAGCAGCTGATTTTTTCGCATTTGTAGGGCTGAGGGCTGCCTTGATCGCTTGCCCTTGTCTACGAGATTTACAGTGACCGACGCGTTGACGTGTCGTCTGTACCTCGTTACCATGATTTTGCCTCGTCTTGTTCTTTATACTACTAATATTTTTATGATGTTCTCAACAAATATCATGTTCATCTCAACAATCTTCTCGCGGCGATATTATGAAGATAATAGTGGCCCTGGTTCTTGTTCTAGTGGACAGGCATGGACTGCTCCTGGATGGGCAGCACAGCCTGCTCCTGGATGGTCGCCGGATTATAGTGGTCGACGCCGACGGGGAGCAGCAGGGTGGTCTTGGTCGGGTAAGGTATTAGGGATTTTTTGTGTTGTGCTCATTGGTCCTCGTGCTCTTCCTGATGTTGATGAAGATGTCCTCTGGGCGAGCCGCACGACGCTGCTGGTCGAGGGAGCAGCTGCTCCTCCCCTGGTCGAGGGAAAGCAGGTCGTGGATGCCGATAACAATTTGGAGCGCCCAGGCCAAGAACATTTGGAGGAGGAGAATTAAGGCTGGTCTCATTTCTTTTTCAAAGACATTTATATATACTATCCTATATGGACTATGGTGCTGAGTGGGTTCACATGTACGGTGTAAACCCAGGTACCAAATAAATCTCTTCCAACAACAATGACCTCTTGCCAGGCACATCATCAATCAATCTTGAATCAATCGAATGAAGGAAAATACAGGGGAATGAAAAAATTAGGGAGTAGATGACTGAAAACATGTCGCCATCATTCCTTTTGGTGGAGCCCAGATAGTACTTACATGTAAGACTATGTGAGACTCATGCCATGCCAGACTCCTGTCTTCACTCAACCACCTGAGAGCCACCAGCACCAGGCATATTTTCAGCCCCGTTAGGGGCCGAAACTGGTGGCCGCGCTACTACATGTAAGACTGGCCGCGCTTCTAATTCAGGACGAGACGGCGGAGACACAGACACAATATTGAAGTTCAAGACAAGGACAGCCGCCCAATGGACCACGTTGACAATGTCATTATGGATGGCTTTACTAGGGAATTCCAATTGTTCAACATCGTGATTCTTGCAGTTCGTTGAAGATAACAACTACAAGTAACTACTGGTAGTCCCAGTCCCTCTGCGGCTACACACATTCGCCCGACGAGGATACACAGATGAAACTGTGGGCGCCGAATCAACTCCTGCTAATATCCTATTCATCACTTCAATCAATCAATCAATCGATCAATCTACGAGTAAGTCGTCCTCTGAGGTTGAGAACAAGACAAGAGGACGAAAAAGGGAGCCAAATGACCCCTGAGATGAGTTTCCTAGTTCACATCTAACACTAGGGCTAGCAATGATAATGTTGGCATGGACGATATTTTTTGCAGAACAGGAGGAACAAGAACAAGTATTTTGTGCTGCGTACGTACAGATGACATTATGCCAGGAGCACAACTCAAGATATTTATACGTCTGATGCTCTCTCTGTACCATAGGCATAGGTAACTGTAAGTAATGTAGTTAGGAGGACACATTATACATATGTTAAGCATGATCTTCTTCAAGAAGTTGACAAGAACATGTTAATGCTGATGAGAGTGCAACCTCAATTTTTATAACTACTTGCAGGGGCGGATGTTTCTTCTGATTTACTTCGGTCTACGTAGGTCTAGACTCTCATCATTACTGTTGATTTCATATCGATGGTGCTCTCGTTTCTTTTCCACCGTTAGGCTAGTAAGTAGAACTAATAATTGCTGGAGCACCAGGTTTATGATTCTTTTCCTCTAAGGATGATCCTGGGGGCGACGCATTGATGGGACTGGAAGCTTCTACTGCATCTGAAAGAACTGCTGTCTCATCAGCGACGTCCGTAATTTAGGGATAGTTTATTGCGATCCCATGTGGACTAATATATTGAGTTGTGAAATTCCCCCTAATCTGAAGGAGAAAATAAAAGGGGAAAAGGGCAACTCACTCGACCAGGGATAGTGAGAAACTACTTCTAAGTAGTGCGTTCATCGTGCTCGACCACTGTGCCGGAGACCGAGTGTCTCTCGTTCCTCAGTCGGTCATCAATGAATAGGAGGAAACGTGAAGAGGGGGCCTCGCGAGGGATGCCAATGGAAAGGAAAACGCTACTGACTCGCGCAACTACTGGCAAGGAAAACGCTACTGACCCAGAGACGGCACTTGCTAATCCAGAGACGCCACTTGCTAATCCAGAGACGCCACTTGCTAATCCAGAGACGCCACTTGCTAATCCACAGACGGGGCCAGGAGTTCACCTTCCCTTGTCGTTAAGCAAAACGAAAATACAACAGTAGAAGACTAAGAGTTCTACTTCAAAACTCGTAGAGTAGATGCAGAAGTGATGGTAGAAGTAGTTAAGTAAGTTTTTATTCGCAGTTCTCTTCTTGAGTTTTCGGAATGTTCTGACTTCTGAGAGTGAGACGCGTATCTGTATATTAAAAAAATGAGTAAGAGTATAAGGTTATTAATAGCATAAGTGAATCAACATTCTTGTCGTGAGGAGTTCATCTAACTTCGACTTCAGTGTTTGCAAAGCAGTGCGCCTGTCTACTTGAGCAAAGTAGCGGAGTCGAAGTAGTTCGCAAGCATCTTCCTCGTCGATTCCTTGAAGCAGATGGGGGTCCTTCTTCGAGCAAAAATCCCAGCTCTTGTATAATTGCTGCCGATAACTACAAGAACTACAACCTCAATGCTGAGCCGGGGCATCAAGGATTTCCTGCACCTCAGCAGCCACACGACCTAGAAGATCACCACATGCATCATCTACAACAGGAAGCTCTTCTTCTACCTGAACAAAATAGTACAACAATGAATGAGAATGACATACTACCTGGAAAAGAAGTCCCGGGGGTCCACCACCTCTCAAGAATGGCTGAGGGAGTAGATGAACTGCTCGAGGCGGATCTTCCGAAAAATGTTGGGGATAACAAGAATGTTGGGAAGATCTTCAACGCTACATCATTTAGAAGTAGGGACCTTGTTGACCTCGGTTCCTCCAGACGAGACAAGAAGGTGGGATCATTGCCACTAGTACCTCCACTACGCAGTCGCTGCAGCACAGATGACATCTCTCAGCCCTCGCTAGCGCTCCAATCCATCACGACCTCGGACGATGTGGTTGAATTCAGAGCAGTAGGCCCCAGCTCCTCTCGAAGTCCTGGCACTACAACGAATACCAAGGCGCTCTCCTCGAGCTTCTTCAACATTAAGTTCAGCTCCTTTTATCAGATTATTTTTCTTTCGAGATGGCATCTTCTGATCTCTACTCGATGCAACCCTTTATTTCCCTGGGCCTGGGAGACTTATTTTTATGGGAAGGCAAGAACGGGGGGAGGAATTTTTTATGAGGGGACGGACCCCCGAGAAGATAAGTAGAGGCAGCTAACTGCTCTAATAGTACGACAATTCCTCGCTTTCGTGGTGCTTCTAAAAATGATTCTTCATCATCTAGAAGAACAAAAGACCAGCACATGCACAAGGAGGTTCTTGTTTATTCCAGCGCGGCTTCTGCGACGAGAGTGATGATGTCCTCCGCCTCTGCTCCTGAGAGAGGTAGTACGCACCGCACCCATCGGCCGCCGCACCGCAGGCATTTAAAAAACTTGGAGCAGAGTCGTCAGTACGCAAAGGAGTCAGCTGCTGCACACAACACGAACGTTGTACTAGCTCCAGTAGAGTCCTCATCTCGTGAACAGGAACAAGAAATGGACGTGGAGGCGGATAGTTTCTATCATCATAGTTTCTACCATCAAGATCACCATGAACATCCAGCATCTTGTTTTAAGGCGAAAGTTGATCCAGCATCTTGTTTTGAGGCTCAAGCCGCTCTCTCAACATAATTTAGTGCAATTCATTTTATCTTCACTTCTTCCCTCTGCTCCTAGCTAAGTAGATGCTTCCTTATCGGTTTCTGAGTTCTCCCGGTCTCCCCATAGGTTTCTGAATTCTCCTAGTCTCCTCATTTGTTTCTGAGACTTGGTAAATGTAGCATGACGGGCCTAAACCACTTACGAGACTTTTAGGATGATGAATTATTGTGCGCGCTAAGCCCGCCACCTACGAGGACCAAGTTGTGGGCTACATAGTTCAATCTCCGGATGAGACTTTCGCGGTAATGAGCCAGTCAGCGTTCGCGAAGTTCACTGCGCAAGCACAGCAACGCTCCTTGTGTACTCAAAACAACATTACTAGTACAACTAATGAGGACCCGGACCCGCAGAACGGACAAGAATTGAAATATGCTGGTGAGGAACATGAACATGGTGATGGTGAGCTGCACTCGAGGACCGAACAAGTAGGACAAGAAAGCGAGCTTTATAATTGTAACAAGCAGCTTAGAAAGCGCGGCGCCGGACAAGGACAACATAAATTATGGCTTCCCCTAATCCATCTTCGGAAGCATCGTAGAGACGTTTTCAAGGGGAAAACAGTCTCAGGATGGACTTGAAGATGGATTAGGGTGAGCGCTAAATAAATTTAAGGTCCTGACCTTCGACGCGTGCTCGCGAAATTCGCAGGAGCTGCCTCTTTCCCACGTGCTACCGCCAATGCAGGTGGACTTTTCGTCTACTTTACAACATACTACAGCTGATACAAGAACTAAAAGCATCAAGCAGAGGCACCTGCTCGACGTCGCAGAGGAAAATCTCCTTCAACAAGAAGATGAGCCCGAAGAGGCTGCCCGAGATGCCGACGTCGGCATAGAAAGAACAGAAAGAAAGGATGCAGCTGCTAGCGCAAGGACTACAGAAGCGGCTGCCAATCCTCAACAAGTGAAAAAGGGTCATGATGACGTCGATGACAACTCTCAAGAAAAGGCATCGCTGACAATTCTCAACGAGATTCCGAGCCAAGAGAAGCAAAGCAGAGCGAGCAAAGCGATTCAGGTCCTCGCGAGGTTCTTCTTGCGAAGAAGCAGAAAGGAGCTCGCGGCTCAAAGAAACTACATTATGTGACAAGAATATATTTATACTGATTTTATTCTTTTGATTACCATTACTCCTGTCGTGACGTTACCTCAAGTCGTGATGCGCAACTAGTCATGTGGATCTTCTACTCCATCTCCTACAGACTAGGGATCTTCTATTTTTATATCTATTTACCTGTATTTCCGTTTGCGAAAACGGCCATGCTCCAGGTCCAGCACCTGTTGATGAGACGAGGCTCTTCAATTCTAAAAATTATTGCTTTACAACTACTGAGAACCACCCCTCCAGCAAAGTAAAGCGTTGTAGGACCCACGGTCCGGACAGTTCCGCGAGTACAACTACATCAAGACAGAGACTACAAGAACCACAACTTCTTGAAGAAGGGCAGACCACGAAACAAAAGCCGCGAAAACGCTCAATGTTGCCGGATCTTGCACGAAGGTTCATAAGATGTTCTTCGACGAGGGCTATCTCGAAAAAAGCGATCTCTGGTGGCAGTAGTACTTCTGCAAAAAAGGTCGCCCCTGCCTCTTCTGAGAGGGAATACCTCGAAGCGAAGCCGGCACCAGGAGGCCGCTCTGTCATGGTCTCTACTCCATCTGCATCGGCGTCAAACACAGCTGCAGCTTCTTGTAGACTTAAGAACGCTCCCTCTAACCCTAAGGAGGGAATAAATCCATCTTCTCGCTCAGATCTGTCTCGCAGCTTCTTGTCTTTCAAGTGAAGAGAACAAAAGGCTTCTACTAGCATCTATGGCATCTATTAGCATGATCATGGTCTTCTACTTGTACCTACTTCAAGGTAGTAGATAGTAGATGTAGATGTAACATGATTATATCTACTCCATTCGCTCTAACGACCCTATTGGCAATCGAACAACTGTCGATCGGGCAAGATCAAGAAACAAGATCAACACTAACAGTGTCCTATTGGCGGAGGACACAAAGCATCATGTTAATCTTGGTTGCTCTCTGCATGCCGTGCCCGGTGAAGATATTCATGACGGAAGTAGTGAAGATCGAGTAAGAGCTGACGCAAGAGGCAAGACCGTTGGACGAGGAGCGTCTTCGAGTAGCTGCACCGACAACTTGTTGGGAGCGCGGCCGATTGTCCCGATGCCCTTTGTTGGAGGCAGCCCGACCGCGTCGTCAGGTGTCGAAGCGCCGGGTCAGCCACCACGGTCCACGTCTTTCGAGCTGGTCTTAAGGCTTACAGTAATTCATCGAAAGCAGCATCTTTTTCTTTGCCCTCTTTTTTATGAGGGAGACCCTTAATCCCTTGATGGGGGAAACCCCTTTACAAGCAGCGCCACCTTTGTCCCCTTTTATTTTAAGGGGGAAACGCGTCAAAGATGCTGCCCATCAAGATGAATATAAGTAAGTTCTAATAGTAATGGAGTCGTCGCGTTCGCTCAGCGACAAAAATACTACTCAGGAGCGTCCGGAGTCTCTAGCCGGCAGCAGTACTTCTAGGCAAGCGGGTAACGGGAGCAACACCTTTACCGCCAACAGCAGCAGCTGCATGATGACCGGGGGTAACGGAAGCAACACCTTTACCGCCAACAGCAGCAGCTGCATGAAGATGACCCGTAAAAATATTAAGGGTCGTGTGGGAAATCCATCTCCGAAGTCATCTTCTGGAAGGAGAACACAAGAATCCAGAAGTTTTTCTTGGGATGGATTTCGTCCTAGTACGCTACTTCTAATAGTAGCAATAGGAACAACTACAACTACGCTAGTACCTCCGAAGAGCAGGTGGATGTATCTGGAACAGTGGAGCATGGAAGTGGAAGCGGAACGACTACTCGAAGAGAGCTGCATAAACTGAAAAATAACAATCATATTATGGCTAAAGGTGTTCTTGTTACCGTTCTTTTTGCCTTTCTGAAGGGAAGAAGGCATGACGAACGGGGTAAGCGAACACCAAAAGTCTCCCGCTAATAGTAAGGATGTTGTGCTGACTGCGCTGAGTGCGCTGCGAGATGAAAAGAGCCGCGCAGCGGAACCTGTTCAAGAGAACGAGGCCGACAACAAGCCGCCACAACAATGGCAAGCTGCAGCAGACTTTTTTAGTAATACTCCTGCTAGTTGTGAAGGACAATCAGGATCAGCTGAAGTTGCTGGTGCATCGTATGCATCCGAAGATGAGGATGGTGAAGGCTTCCAACGTCGTAGAAGCTCTGCAAAGCTGGGGCAGTACCACGATGAAGAATATTACAGGGAGCGACGAGGACGAGAGTACGATCATAGAATTAAGGGCTACCGCATTGCTTTCTTCTTCACTGCCATCTCTGAGCCGTAGTTTCCCACTCAGGGACGATCTGAAGAATGCAAGAACTTACTTCGCAAACTCTAATAGAGGGAAGAACCTCCGCGGCAGGCGTGGTCACGAGCGAAGTGTAGCAGCATCGTCATCCTCGTCTTTCTGGCATGGAGATACACCAAACGAAAGCAACAACGACGAAATCGAGCAGCGAGTTTCTTGTTCTTAAGGCTAGTAGTCTCCAATCACTATCCGTATCCCACTATCCCAACAGAAGATGGACTAGTAGGGACTCTGACCTGTGCTGGGCATTTCATCTTCTTTTTAGATACCAGTCACAGTCTCAGTCTCTTCACTCAAGAGCAAAATGTAGATATAAGGCCATTAAGGGAGACAACTTCTACACGTGCACGCACAAGGCGACTCGAACTACACGTACACTATTCTTGAGAGGGGACAGGAACTGCGTAGCGTTAAGATTTTCCGCTGAATGGAATGGAAGACTTTTCTCCGATGTCGGGCAACCTTTTTTCACCACCTACTGCCGAAGAAGAAGAAATAATTCTGCCGCTTCCCTTCGCTGTTGAAGATGCCCGCAGGACTCTTATATGATGCCACTTGTTCATCTCATTGAGAAAGGACTAAGTTATAGGAGCGGTAAAATGTCGTTCTGAGTAAGTACTTAAAAAAGAAGGGCCATATTGTGAGGAGAACGACATTTATTCCCCAGGATCCTCGACATTCTCAATATGTGGAAGCATTCAGGGTTCTTCGACGACGAGGCTGGAGACCCTTTCGATATCTTAGGAAGTCAGCAGTTGTCCACGAGAAAACCTAAACTCAGGTCATGGTGGGGTGTTGAGAGGGATGAAATTCCAACTTCTGAGACGCCGCACATCACCAGGAAAAATTTCACTCGTCACAGTAACGATTTTGTTGGCAGTCTGGATGCGCTGCAGGGACACGAAATGGTGGAAAGGCCGTCTACTTGTTCCGCATTTTTTCCGTCGAAGACATCGAAAAGTAGCACTAGAGGGGCAAGGAAGGAACTGCATCCAACGCACAAAGAAACGTCCAGCTCATTCGCTTGTTCTTCCATGGGGATCGGTTCTTCAATGGGCCGTGGCCAATCCTGCTCGTCAGCAGCCTCATCTTCTTACAGTTGCACGGCTCGTCAACCCGCAGCAGTACCAGTACCAGGTGGAGCAGTAGGTGCATTAAGGCCCCTCATTTCTCCAAAATTCTTCTTGTTTCATGAAAACTAGCTCTCGGAGGGGTTGCATTCGAATATGCTCTTCAGTCGGTCGTTGCAGTTGCCCTTCACGGTCCTTACTTATTTTTTCTTCAAGCAGAAAGCAAAAAATACGCCAAAGAAAAAGATGACTTCCACGCCAAGAGCATATTAGGAAAATTATAGTAAGCTCTAATATCTATGCATGAGCATGACGCAGCACTCGCACCACGAGATTGGCCAGCCGTTCAACAGCACCCAGCATCTTCTTCTGTAGCTCAGGACCGATCTTCTGCTCCTGGTGATCAATGGTTTCATGGCCCAGGTTGCAGAAGCGGCCCCGCTGATGAAAACAAAAGTCGGCTTTTCAGTACGGGCTCTTCAGTAGTGCACACCACAGGAACGGCTTTTCAGTACAGGAGAAGTGCTATCCGTGCCGTCGCTGCCGCTCGGAGGTCGCTTCATGATGAAGACTCCTCTTTTTACAATGTTGCTCCTAATATTGGTGAACTCTGCGGGCAGCGGACCCTCGCGAGCACCACAGGAGATCCTCGCTCCTACTTAGCGGACGATGGTCCTCGACATGAATCCGCCGAAGAATCCCGCCTGCCCCAGATGAAGGGCACGAGCTGTACCACCAAGACCGTCTTGCCACAGAACAAGGATGACAGAGGAGGTGACCTGGATGAGGATCGTACACAAGTAGAACAACATCTTAGACAAGAAGAACAACATCGTAGACAAGTAGAAGAACAACATCGTAGAAAAGAAATTTTGAATTCAAATCGTGCTGAGGGTCCTCCAAGAACTACTTCTACTCTGCCTGAGAATTTCTACACACATCGTCGCGGGGACCCCACCACCTTTATCAACATCGCACCACCTTTGTCAACATCTTCACAGAGCGGCAATGTCTTTCATCCGGGCATCAATGTCTTTCATCCAGGCATCAGCTTTGCGGATGACTCGGATGAAGACGACCACGACCCCTTTGGAGATTCGTTACCAACCCCTTCGGAGAGCTGTAGTAGTTACCAACTCAAGAGGGGCCACGGCATGAACTGTACAACGACGAGGCCGACGAAGAGTGGGCCGCTCGTGGAGACCACATCCAGAAGCGAGCATGCCCGGGAGATTGCTCCTGCGAAAAACCCGCCACTTCTTCCGTAAGAAAGAAGCATTCTAATTTTTTTTTTGTTCACAATTATCAAATGAAAATCACGCATAGTCAAAAATAAATATTTTCGTATCTTACTTAATCGAAAGTCAGTATTTATCAAAAATGCGACTTGCTCTAATTTATTCGTGTCCATGACATGAATCTAGTAGATATGACTCAACAACAGCAACAAGAACATGTAGTTCTATACTCACATCTAATCGCCGCGATTTCCACCGACAACTGTCAGACAAGGAGCAGACAATTCGACGCCTCGAAGGGAACCACCTTCATCAAGTGCTGGAGTCCGATCTTCCAATGTATTTCCCTCGACAACTTCTCTGGGCGCTTCCTCGTCCCCCCTAGCCGAAGGCGAGGATCTACCTCATCCACTGGGCGCTTCCTCGTCCCCCCGAGCAGAAGGCGAGGATCTATCTCAAGCTCTAGCACAACCGACACTGTTAAGGCACCTTTCTCCCGACCACTGGTGCACCCCTGTACTATAATAAGGTCTGAGACTGGGACGATTCTCAACTCACTCGCCAAAGACCAAACTTTTGAAAAATCCCAAACTTTTGGCCAAAGCCCACGCTTTTGAAAAGCCCCAAACTTTTTGCCAAAGCCAAAACTTTTGAAAAGTCCCAAATTTTTTGCCAAAGCCCAAACTTTTGAAAAGCCCCAAACTTTTTACAAAGGCCAAACTGTTTGCCAAAGCCCAAACTTTTTGCCAAAGCCCAAACTTTTGCAAAGCCCCAAACCTTTGGCAAGGCCCAAACTTTTGCAAAGCCCTAAACTTTTCCCAAAAGCCCAAACTTCTTCCAAAATCTCAAACGCTTCCCAAAGCTCAAACTCTTCGCCAAGCCCCAAACTTTTTCCAAATGCCCAAACCTTTCCCAAGTCCCTAACTTTGCTTCGCCCAAAAGCTCAAACTTTTTCCAAAGACGAGCCCAAACTTTGCCCAAAAGCCCAGCGTAAAACAAACCCTCTCCAAAGCCGAGTCCAAACGCTGTCCAAACGGCAGCCACGGCCACAGCCAGAGCCACGGCCACCGCCACAGCCGCGGCACCAGCCACGACGGCCACAGCACCAGCCACGGCCACGGCACCAGCCACAGCCACGGCAGCAGCCACGGCCACGGCACCAGCCGCGGCACCAGCCACGGCCACGGCACCAGCCACGGCCACGGCACCAGCCACGGCCACGGCACCAGCCACGGCC